GACCGAAAACCTAATAAATATAAAACATTAGACATAGGTATAATGTAAATAACTACGAAGGGAAAGGTCTTGTAGGGTTTTAGTAGATAATACTGGTTTTTCTAACCGGTAAGTCCCACATAACCACAAGTATTTAAGTGGTATGCGTATATCAAGTATTTAATTTATCAACTTTAAGAAAATGTCTTATATCATTCCTTTTACCTTACAGGTTATCTATGAAAATATTACTAAGAAATAAACTTCTTATAGTGTATGTGCTCTTTTTATGAGTATCTCTTTAAAACACACATAATATATGTATATGTTTTATAAGTAAATGTAAAAGGGTGTTCGATATTTAAAAGTAATATACGGACCCATTAATTCTGTGATTATATACATACTTTAATTGACCGTTACAACTCGGGGACTGGTTAACATTTATTAATAATTGCAGTATACTAGGAGTACGCAGGAGGTCGTAGGTTTAATCACCGGCGGAGTGAAAGTTTGTTCAGGACTCAGATTTTAAAGATACCTATGTATTTTTCTGTTATATCATTGAGAATTCTTTGCGTAAGCGCAATTTAAAAACTTCAATTAAAGAATAATTATATACTATGTACTTACTTGCCTGTATGTTACATAAAGATGAAGTATTTTCAACCGACTTCCTCCATAAAACTTTTTAACAAAAAAATAAAAACCGACTTCAAACAAAAGCACTGAAAAGTAAAAAATGACTGATGGGTAGTTTTAATTTACTATACATACCTAATCAAATATTTTCGAAGTCGGTGTGCTTTGCTTTGTATCGGCTGGCACCGACTTCGAAATTATTTGATTAGGTATGTATAGTAAATGAAAACTACCAATCAGTTATTTTTTACTTTTTAGTGCTTTTTTGAAGTCGGTTTTTATTGTTTCGTTAAAAAGTTTTTATTTTATTTTTAACCGACTTCCAAAAAGGGAGGAGGTTCTCAATTCTACAGAATCTTTTTTTTATGTATGCTCACCGATTACTTGAAGACGCCTGAACTGATCTGGAAATATTTTTTTGTTTCAAAGAGTACATATACTTCCAGGTGGTCGCATATAAATTTTATCGTAATCGGTCGAATCGTTTGTTTAATCGAATATGTTATTAAAAACTTTCTTCTTACAAATTACCTGCTTATTACGTCTACACAAAAAATGGAAAATAAAAACCGACTTCCAGGCACTAAAACGTAAAAAATAACTAAACGGAGGTTTTCATTTAGAATAAATACCTAATCAGATATTTTCGAAGTTGGTGTCAGCCGATGCAATGCATTTCCGGGATAAAAAGTCCTTCTTCGTCTTTTATCTTGTGTCCTTCCCAGGGTCTCAAACTATCTTACTACCAAATTTCATCTAAATCGGTTCATTAGATCCAGAGATTACCCCCTGGCCCCTACAACGTCACAAACTCACAATTTACAAACTCACAAACTTTACCTCTTTATAATATCAGTATAGATAAGAAGTCAATATTGTTTTTTTCTAAATATTTAAAATGTTTTTTGACGATCCATTTAGCCATCGCAGAGTGTGAGAAAATCTTCTCTACAACGGGTACTAAGTCAGAAATTGCGGATTCTTTTTTCATATAAACTTTTAACCTACCAGTTAGTAATTATATATCCCAGTGAGTTTTTTTATTTTCTAGGAATAAATAAAATCTTCTTCATAGAACTTCTTCTCCAAATCCCACTGGTAACTATTCTTTTTACGAAATGAAACTTACATCTCTTTGTAAATCCCACTAAAATTAATTAGGACATCCCTAGGGTAACCAAGACAAGCAGATAGACAAACAGACAATAAATAATCACTATTTCTGGTTTCACATGCTGCGCAAACGCAAAAGTTAACGGAAATGGCCACTTCCGGTGACCAATCTGGCATTGAGAAGAGTGCAAAAACCTTCAGGAATTGGCGAAATAAACTGTTTTCAAGAGCACGCAAGCACTCTTTGAAGCCGTCATACTTCATCCGTATTAATATTATAAATGTGAAAGTTTGTGAGTATGTATGGATGTTTGTTACTCTTTCACGCCAGACCAGCAGAAAGGATCTGGATACTTTTTATCCGTGAAAAATGTACGGTTCCCGTTAAAAGAGTTTCTCTTTGTTCACCTAGATGTGAACCCGAGCGAAGTGAGGGTGTGCCGCTAGTAATATAATATTATTAAAAGGTAAAGTTTGGAAGTTTGTGAGTTTGTTTGTAGGAAGTAATCTTTGAAACTACTGAACCGATTTAGATGTTTAGTAAGAAGATAGTTTGAGAACTTGGGAAAGACATACATTAGTTTTTATCGCGGAAATCATCCCTTAAGAAAGTGAAAATGGGGATGAAAGCTTGTATGGGAAATCTATCCGAGCAAAGCGTGGGTGAGTCGCTAGTTAACAATAAAATTGAATTGAAAAATTCAGAAATCGCTGAACGTTTTGGCACTTTCAATTAATAAGTTGACTCAATTGTAAACCAGTGGTAATGCGTTCGCTTGGGGAACCAAGTGAAGCGGTTTCAAAACCCGAGTCTGCAAACCATTTTCAATAGACGACACGTGTACATATACACCAACCCGCACTTGGCTAGAGTGGTGGACTATGCCCTATTCGCCTGGAATTAAGGAGAAGCCCAGTGTCTAATATCCAGCAGTCCATAATTTAGCTGCATTTGATATTTACCCAATGTAAACTTTTAGATTACTCTTGCAACAGCTGACTTTATTTATTACAACCTGAAAGAAGCAGGTCGAAAGATAAAGATAATCATAACACATTAGAAACATCTGGCATTAATGTTCGAAATACTAATGCTATTACAAAACAACACAACAGACAGACATTAAAAATTTAATCTTGTTTTTGTAACAAAAGTACTTATAAAATGAAGATGCAATAGGCAATAACGACTACAATAAATCGATTGCTTTAAAAATATTTCAAAATAGTTTTATATGCAACTACATTAAAATATATGTATGTATTCAATACACATTTGCATTAGAGTACGTGTGAAAGGACTATGAGAATAATAATGACTATACATGTGTACAAACATGTGTACGTATACACTTATATAACGATTACGTACCTACTGAGAATTTCCGATGCAATGATAATGTGCTTCACGATCTTTATCAGAACTGTTACAGTAACTGGGTTAAATCGTCGTGATTCTTTCGTCGACGAGCTAAAGAACTTCTTATGATTTTTAACCGATTTTAAAAAGAAATAGGTACTCAATTCATCTGTATTATTCAATGTGGGCTCGTATGCGTTATTATATTTTGCCAATTATGAGTTAATTTTCATATTTTTATATATACATTTTGAAAATACATCCAAAATTATGGATTTGATTGTACGAATACTCAATACAATGACTAATACGAATGATTTCAAAGTTAATTAATATTTTTTTTTTGTTAAAAATAATTATATAGGCATAGAACACATGTATAAATTGAAAAAAAGATATCTTTAACTAAAGTCAAAGATAGAATATTTACCCTTTACATTCGCCAAAATAAAACGTAAAAGCCATATTTTTAGAACGACTTTGAAGTGTCAATAACTAATATCTGTCAATAAAAATCAATAACAATACTATACTTATAATTACTTCTTACTAACGTTAACATAACTTGCAACTACAAGGTAGAGTAACTTTAAAAGTACGTATAGTTACAGTAATTATATTTTAACAACAACGATTAAGTTGCAATATAAAAGTACTGACAGTTTCATGGTTATCGTTTTATAGCGTAACTAGCATTGCCCGCGGCTCCGCCCGCGTTCAGATGACCAAAACCCAAATTCTTAGGTTTTACATATTAGTATACTCTTACATTGCAGTTTTTCTATTTTTTCTCAAAAATGAGATATTTTTTCCAGGTAAAAAGTATCCTATATGTTGACCCGGATAACCAGCTATCACCATACCAAATTTCATCAAAATGCCTCCAGTGGGTTTTCCGTGATGCGGTAACAGACAGACAAAAATTCTAAAAACTATAGATTCGACCTCCGTATCGATAATAACGTGTATTTCAATAAAATTTTCCAAAAAATATCTAATGTACAGATTCGGCTTAGTTACAATTTTATTATATGTATAGATTATTTTGCTTTTTCACTGACATACTAAACCCTAAAAATATGCAGTTAACGTTTTATTATAATACTTGGGGTCGGCGCATTACCCCCGTACTGCTTATTGGTTATTTGGAAGGAATAAATGCATTTTAGGGTATTACTTTTTTACCAGTGTTTTTAATGGTGAAAGCCATAACAATAAGTTTAATACCCACTCTTAATAATAAATAATAATAGACATTTTTACTGCAATATTATAAAATTGCAATTTTATTAGAAAGTAAAATAAATATTATAACGATTCTATTCCACGTAGCTTTTATTCTACCTAACTGTAATTTTGTTTTTAAAAATAACTATATGTGTTCGAATTTGTGTTTAAACAATCATAATTTACGATTTTTGGGATTTATTCTTTACTTTGATTAAAAGTCACATTTTGACGTTACTTATTGAAGAGATATCTGGAACGGTGCATCTTAATTAATATCTTATTCAATGGTTTTTTATGCCCTTTTAACTAAATAGCTATACCTACCTAAAAATTACTTTAAAATTGATTATTTCACCCATATGTTATTTCATAAGGACCGAAGCTTTTCAATAGGAAATTATTCAATGAAAGGAATGGTGAATATCGTTTAAAATCGGTGATAAAGTTTTTATAATCCAATAAAACAAGCTCTGAATTCGATATTATTCATAAAAGTTTTAATAATTTAAAGCATTCTGACTAAAATATTACTCTTATAATTACTTCCTAGTTCCAGAAGAGATTTATATCCAAAATTGATTTTAATAATTCCAGGTACCGTACACAACCAAATTTACAAATATTTTTTTACTTAACATAAACAATATATCTTTTCAGAGCTATGCACTGAAACATCATGGGGATATTAACAACAGTAACGGCAGCCGTTAAGGCGGCTCTAACAATAGGCGGTATAAGCAAACTCACCTTCATTCCTACGATGTTGGCTGCCATGGCATATTTTAACTATGATTTACTAGACCCCGAAAATCGTCCGTTTAACCAAAAGTATCTAAGAGAAGAATATGACTTTGTGATAGTCGGAGGAGGCTCAGCTGGGTCCGTCTTAGCTAATAGATTATCTGAAATCGAAGGCTGGAATGTTTTGCTCTTAGAAGCCGGTGGACATGAAACAGATATAAGCGACGTTCCTTTGTTATCTTTATACCTGCATAAGAGCAAACTAGATTGGAAATATCGGTAAGCTTTAACTAATTAATTTAAAAATAGTCTTCATGAAATCTACTTCTGAATAAGTAAAGGCTAAATAAATAAAATCTTTATTGGAAAACGTTTTAAAGATTTACAATATATTAAATTATGTATACGATAATTTAATTTCATATTTAACATATCTATAAAAAAATCTTATAATTTACAATTTTTTCATTTTACTTAACTTATAATTAATACTGAAATTTTAAATTACTACTCATTTGATTTTAGAACTGAACCCCAAGATTCCGCTTGCCAAGCAATGATTGATAAACGCTGCAGCTGGACTAAAGGTAAAGTTCTTGGGGGATCCTCAGTATTGAATACAATGCTTTACATCAGAGGAAACAAACGTGATTTCGATCATTGGGAGTCTTTAGGCAATCCTGGATGGAGTTATAAAGACGTTCTTCCATATTTCAAGAAATCTGAAGATCAACGAAATCCGTACTTGGCCAAAGATAAAAAACATCATGCCGTAGGTGAGCAAAGTCTTTTATTTTAAATTTTTGCTAAATTCAAATGTAAAATAAAAAAAATGTTATTAATGCCCTCTGAGAATTATAAAAATAATATTTGATGGCGTAATTATTTCAGGTGGCTATTTAACAATCCAAGACGCCCCTTACAACACACCAATTGGTGCGGCTTTTCTTCAAGCTGGTGAAGAAATGGGATATGAAATCGTGGATGTAAATGGGCAGCAGCAAACAGGTTTCGCTTGGTATCAGTTCACTATGAGGAGGGGAACAAGATGTTCTACAGCGAAAGCTTTTTTAAGACCTGTGAGACTCCGTCAAAACCTTCATGTATCTTTATTTTCTCACGTTACTAAAGTCTTGATTGATAGAGAAAATAAAAGAGCTTATGGCGTAGAGTTTTTCAAAGACGGCACGAAACAAGTAGTCTATGCCAAACGTGAAGTCATACTATCGGCTGGTGCGATTGCATCGCCCCAATTACTTATGCTTTCTGGAATCGGACCAGCGCAACATTTGCAAGAAGTTGGAATCGATGTTGTATTTGATTCTCCTGGAGTTGGGCGAAACTTGCAAGATCATATAGCTGTTGGTGGTATAGTTTTCGAAGTCGATTATCCAATTAGTTTAGTATTAAATCGACTAGTAAATATCAACTCAGCATTGCGTTACGCTGTCACGGAAGATGGACCTTTGACTTCCAGCATAGGTTTAGAAGTAGTATCTTTCATAAACACAAAATACGCTAATGCGTCAGAAGATTGGCCAGATATTGAGTTTATGATGACTTCAGCATCAATTCCTTCAGACGGAGGTACTCAAGTAAAGAGAGCTCACAGTATCCCAGACGAATTTTATGAAGAAGTATTTGGTCATCTCACAAATAAAGATGTTTACGGTATATTTCCTATGATGTTGCGACCAAAAAGTCGAGGATTTATCAAACTAAGATCCAAAAATCCTTTAGACTATCCAATTATGATTCATAACTACTTAACACATCCTGATGATGTTGGTGTTTTAAGAGAAGGTGTTAAGGCAGCGATCGCTACAGCAGAGACTAATGCCATGAAACGTTTGGGAGCCAAATTTAATAGTAAGCCAGTTCCAAATTGTAAGCATTTACCGCTTTTTACAGACGAATACTGGGATTGTTTCATAAGGCAGTATACTATGACAATATATCATCTTTCTTGTACTGCGAAAATGGGACCATCTAGTGATCCAATGGCAGTAGTAGACCCTCAGTTACGAGTGCATGGAGTGGAGGGACTTCGTGTGATAGACGCAAGTATTATGCCCACTGTTACTAATGGAAACATCAATGCTCCAGTAATTATGATAGCTGAGAAAGGCAGTGATTTAATAAAAGATATGTGGTTACCAAAACAACCAAGGAGACGCCGCAGATCATTAAAATGCTCAACTTTAGAAAGACTATTCGTTAAAAACCAATTGAAACCTCTATGTGGAATAGAAAGATGATAAAGCAATTATTAGGAGATATTTATTGAAGCCATAATAAAAATAGCAGAAAGTAGCATCAGTGGATATCGATTGGGTATCGATTCTAAAAAAAATCCGATTTAGCTCAAATGTTTCTAGTCGTCATTTTTGACAAAATCGTGTGATTATAAAGGTAAAAATTACTAATATTATGGGAGATATACTAAAGATTAATAAAATGCTTTATTTAATAGGATGTTAGAATTTAACAATAACAGTTTTCATAATTTTCATTTTATATTAAAAATAGCGAATGACACTCGCTTCGGTTCGGGTTCGTCCATAGACAAAAAAATATATATTTATGTCACGGGAATCGCATATTTTTTCGGGATGAAAAGTAATCTATGTGCTATTTCAGGCTATATCTATCTCTGTGCCAGATTTCATTCTAAATTCGTTCAGCCGTTCTGGCGTGAAATAGTAAAATCCAGCCATGTTCACAAACTTTCACATTTATAATATTAATAGGATAAAGTTAAATGTTTTACTTTGTTAATTTTATCTTTATACACACGAAGGAATCTGTACAAGTAGCAATTAATATTAAAATACCTGAAAAGACCTAAAATACTTATTAACAAATTTATGTACATAATAGTTTATTATTTTACAGAGTTTATAAATAGATATTACGAGGTTTGAAATTACCTATCATTCATGTGGTATTATTTGTTGAATGGTGTTCATGTATAGAATATATTGTAGTAGGTAATGTAAAAATTGTAACTATTAGTGTTATTACATTTTAAATGTTAAAAAGATTAAAAAGAGTTTTCTATTATTGCTGAAGCTTCTTTTACCTCATTCTTACCGAAAACGCTTATAAGTACACTGATGTACCTAACTTTTAAACAACTAAGCATGTCGTCTATATATGTCAGTAGACCAAATACATACATAAAATTTTAGATAAAAGAAGCAACATAACAAAACGTATCTTCTTATAAGGAAATGGTATACCAAAACAGTTCAGTAACTGATTCACCACGTAAACAATTAAGTCAAGTTGGATTTTTTTTTTCCTTTTCCATTCTTACACAAGCTAAACAAAGCAAGGGGACTCTATACAATTCACGTATTGTCCATACCATCAACGTGCAACAATACTTCCAGCAGTACTACATCAAGAGTGTAATTTATTTGCTATAAATTATTAAAGTGTTTAAAAAATAAATATAAGTATCCATAAAAATAAAAAATTATATACTTATACATAAGTATATAATTTTATTTATTATTAATATTTTTAGCTATAATTGGAAAACTTTAAGCTTAAAGATTTCAAATTTTCTATGATTATTGAAATACGAGTATATAAAAATAAATATTGGAAAATGAAAATTTTAAGTTTAAGAATAACGTGATATTACTAAAATTGACAAAAGTAAGTTGTATTTTTATAACTAAATTCAGTAATTTATCAATGGATCGAATCGAGGGGATAAATAATAGTCACTGTAGTAACAATCAATATCACTCTCTTATTCTTTACAGCTATATCTATACAAATCGCTCAATCCGATCGGTTGCTCTTTTACTGTGTGAAAGAAAAATAAACAACCGAAAAAACTTTCTCATTTATAATATAATAAAAAGAACCTCTTTTGCTTACAAAATAAGTGTAGATTTAAATTTCAACCACAACAGTGTTTTAACCGGTATTATGTCAGCATTTTTTCTGCAAAATTGAAATAATGTTCGGTGTCATATTATTTAGATTTTCTCTAACTTTTGACGCGCTAGCGCCATCTATGTCGTTGTACCTGTAATACTTAGGTAGAGAAAGCGTTTCGTATGAAAGTACATGAATTCATAATAATAAAATAGAGACAGCAGATGGCGTGTATTATTTTACTATAGCAATAGTGTATTAAAATATTTATTTACTAGCATTGCCCGCGGCTTCGTCCGCGTTCAGATGTTCAAAAACCAAATTCTTAGGTTTTACATATTAGTATACTCTTACATTGCAGTTTACATTGCATACCAATTTTTTTTATTTTATTAGCGGTTTTTCTGTGATGCGGTAACAGACAGACAGACAGACGGACGGACGGACGGACGGACGGACGGACGGACGGACGTGTAAATATATATAGTGCACATGCCTTAATTTTTAGTTTTATTGATTTTTATTCCTATTTATAATTCTCAAAATACCTGGTACAACTCGTCTATTACGTTGATCTCTAAAGCTCACGAAAGTTTATCGAGATCATATTATCATTGATATGGAAACGTCGGTTGTACAAATCGGCACACTGGTCCTGACAATGTGCAAAAACATCCATAGGTACCTACATTTTTATTTTGGCTTTGTTTATATTATTAATAATAATGCTTATAGAAAATCGTTTAGAAATTAAATTTCTATAATGTTTCAGACACACATTTAGAGTACCCGACAAATACTGTAAATGTCAAAAGTTAAAAATAAATAAAAGCATCTTGTCTCTGCCATTTTTATCAATAAAAATATCATTTATTCCTACATTTTTTCAACTATTATACAACTGGACAATAGATGTCCAAGAATATTGCAAGTCATATTTAATCTTAGCGTAATCATTAGATAGATTACCTAACAATATTCTTAGTATATTCCGACAACGTGTCAGTCAGGCTCGTTGGTCAGTAACCTGCACAGCTGCAATCTAAAACTCCTGATGAAACCCTTAGAGAGAATCCTGCACTCGAGTCTTGGTTCTATTATTGAATTTTATGTTAAAAAATTTAAAGTCTAAGTAAGTAATTTTCGCAAAATGTCCCTTATATTGGTAAAAACCGTATGAAAATCCGTTCAGTGCTATCTGAGATTAGCCCAAACAACGAAAAACTTAGCGCGCGAAACTTTATTTAATAATTAATAATACGTATTGATAATGCTTTTTTTCTATACTACAGTATAATTCTATATAGTTTTCTTTTAATCATTAGTTTTCCTTCTTTCGTTTGCAAACACGCAAATCGTATATATAATTACCAACAGAATCACAAAAGATATGACTCTATCTAACTCCTTCAAACTTTAACTCTAGTCCAACCTGAGAGATATCTATCACGACAATGCTATCCATGACATCATTATTGCCTTATTTGTAAGATCCTTATTATTTTAATAATTTTGCGTACATTTATCGATATTAATAATGAAAAAAAAAGTTTATTTGTATCCCGATAGTTTTTAACCCGGAAATTATCCCTTAAGGGAGTGAAAATGGGGGTGAAAGTTGGTACGGGTGTACCCGAGCGAGTCGAGGGTGAATTGCTAGTTTGATATAATTTCATTCATTCACAGGTCAATAGTAAAATTATATAACGTGACATCCCTAAAATATAAATATGTAACATATATACCTGTCCTTGCGGATCACCCTCGCTTCGCTCGGGTTCGTCGCTAGTGAAAAATAAAAACAAATCTATCTCACAGGAACCGTACATTTTTACAATACATAAAGTATTCCAAACTATAATCTATCTCTGCGCCAAATTTTATCCGGATCCGCTCAGCCGTTCTAGCGTGACTGAGAAGTAAACATCCATCCAAACTTCCGCATGGATGTCTCAATAAGAGTGCAATATTTAAATTTTGTGTCATTTGGTTTTTCGTGCGTGTGACAACTTTGAAATTTAACAGCTGTTACCTATGATTGTCCCGATTATTAAAAATGGAGCGCTGCACAAAAGAAGAACGCGTGTAAATTATAAAAACCCACTATAAAATGGGGAAAGTTACGCTGAGACAACTCGCAAGTTTGGCGGAATTTTCGGTCGAGAAAGTACATCTAATATGTCAACAATTCGAAGAGTTGAAAAAAAAACGAAGTAACTGGGTGGATTATGGACAATAAGTCAGTCAAGTTATTCTTCTTTTCATTCTCCTTCCTTTCCTCTCCAAGATCATCCGATTCAAGGCCGTGTGATTTCTTTCTTTGGGGTTTTGTGAAATCCCATGTCCATGCGAATAAACCAGAAACAATTCTTGAGATCAAGGTCGAGATCCATTACGTCATCGGTTACATACAGGCATATCTTTGTCAAAAATATATCGAAAATTTCATAAAAAGAGTAAAAAAGCCTGTCATCAGAGTCACGGGAGCCATTTGCTGGATATTTTATTCCACACTTAATCGGAACATGTCTAATTTACAATGCAATAAAATTTTACAACTCACTCAATAAATACGTGTTTTTATTTTTAAATGAAATAGTGCAACCTTATTGAGTCACTCTATTTATAGTAGTAAGATAAGAAGTAAGATTAAACTTCAAAAACCAACAAACTTTGAACGTCAATAAAGCTAAAAACACTATGATATATTCACAATAACTTATTTATATAGTGCTTAGGTATTATATGCAAATGTTTACATAATGCGGAAAATATCCCATAACATTTAACACTCATGTAACACTGGTACATTTGCTGGTATACAATAAGCTACAATATAATTTGCAAGTCAGGTTCTATTATACTCGCCATGGGGTCAGCTTCTCGGAAGCGATAATGGCCAGCGTCCTCAAAAACTAAAAAGTGACATGTAATGGCATTGTTGTACTTGTATTGTATCATGTATGCGATTTTTAAATGTCACGATATTATACGTTAATTTTGTTTTACGGCCGGTTTTCATTATAGCTTTCAAGCGTGGTATGCTACTTGAGCACAATTCACTTTGTCACAGAGATCACTTGTGGGCTGAGAAGATGGCATTCTACAATCGATTAAGAAAAGAAAGAATCATGGGAAATCTATACATATAATAAAATTGTAACTAAACCGAATCTGTACATTAGATATTTTTTGGAAAATCTTATTGGAATAAACATTATTATCGATACAGAGGCCAAATCTATAGTTTTTAGAATTTATGTCTGTCTGTTACCGCATCACAGAATAACCACTAGAGGGATTTTGATGAAATTTGGTATGGTGATAGCTGGTTATCCGGGTCAACATATAGGATACTTTT